CATCGCGCCCTGGAGTTCCGAGTGGGGGCTCAAAGACTCAGGGGCTTTGGTTTAGTTCAACATGGGGTCGAAGTCAGGGAATTGGGGAGTTTGCAGGTGATTGAGATGATATTGAGATGGACTACAGGGGGGTTTTATCCTTGGAGTCAGCCAACGGCTGACCTGGAGCCATTCACCCCGAGCTCAGAGCGCCGGATGACAAGCCCAAAACCCGTTGGAGCCGCGAGCCCCAGGTGCGAGCGATCCTTCAGATCCGCGCTGCGGGAAGCGCCTGCGCCGACCCCAAGTCGTGCGCCGTTGGCATCATGCGACGCGGATGCGACGAGCGGTCTTCGGAGTTCGGGGCGCACGGTGTCATCAGTCAGGCTTGGGCTGGCTTTGGGGCGTAGCAGCTTAGCGAAAAAGTGTAGGTTTGAGGATCTTCGGGGCTTTCTGAGCCGGCCCTTGTGCTCTTAGCATGGGGTTGGGAAGAGTTCGCGGTTGAGACTATCGAGTTGGATCGGGCATTCAATCAGTTGAAGTGCTTGCGGCTTGGCTGGACAGAACGCCCGAGATTAAGCATGACCTTCACTGCCACCAGCAGACAATTGTTCAGTCGCTTGAAGTCGCGAGTCATGGCTCAGACGGAACGTTTGCGGCTGTCGCAGCCTGATCCGAAGCTCAGCACCTCAATGGTTGATGGCGAAAGCTTAAGATAAGGATGAGACATTCAGGATGTAGGAAATCAGACGCTTGGAGTACGATTTTGAGTTGAGCCCTCAACCTGCACCCCTCCAATCCCACTGATGGCTTCGAGTTGTCGCAAAGCGCCGAGGAACATTATCTCGTCTTTCGCATGGATCTCACAATTCACCGCACTGGCCGTCTCCGACTGCCAGGCCAGGGGGCGTGAGCCCGGGGCTTTAAAGGTGATTTGAACGGGATTCTTGTAGCTTTGGGCTCAGACCATGTGAATGAGAAGCCGCTAGCCACTAGGTAGCTTAGGCTCGTCACCTCATTTTCTGCCTGTGTATTAGCAGTAAGCCGGTCGAACACAACCTCGGCACTCGCATTACGATTTATGCATAGCATGCACCATAATTGTGCTAGATGTGCTAGTAGCATCAGTGTTGCCTGGTGTTTCTTATAGCAGATACTTACACAGGCAGCGAAGAGCCGTGAACCCTCGAGACTTGGAACATGCTAGCCAGCCGTCTTTCCCGTCAAGTTCCGTGCTGGCTTTCGACACCCGAAGCCGGCGAGTACCCCGAAGGCCTCAGGCAACGGATACCACCTAGAAACTTGCAAGCATTCAGTGCCTTGGGCTCAGAGCTCAACTCGACGCCTTCTCCCGAAACGCGCGGGGTTCAGGTTTGGGAAGCAGCGGAAGGGTTCACCGCATCAAAGCCCCTAGCCATAGCCGCAAAAGCGGAAGTGCCAGGTGGGAGCTGACCAGAAGGCCCTCTGCACCGCCGACATCTCCGACCCTGGGCTGTCCTACACATGCCATGCACCGTGGAACTCACCGACAGTCACATGTAGTTTCATGGCAGTAACCTGGCGTATAGCAGGCATCTTTTCCAGCATGCCCTCTTAGCCGTGACTGTAGCCCAGCACGAGTCTCCCGTATACGAGACTCCCTTGGCGGAGGTGCCCTTCGTCTGCCGGGCATAAAGCAGCCAGCAGTCTCAAGTTTTCAGGGCTTGCCGCGGCCGCCCTGACCCGCTTCAAGACCCACAGCCTCGAACTGTGAATCCTCAAGTCAGTGTTGTTCTCAACCCTGTGCCACAGATCTGAAGCCCGAAACCCACCGGCATACGCCACAAGCCTGTACCAAAGCCTGGTACAATCCAAGCCCCACCCAAGAACCTCAGGAGTGAACCCTCCAGCAGCTTGGGCTCCAAACGCCAGAACCGTGGACCCAAACCCACAAAGCCAACACTCCCAGGACATGGTGGCCGCCCTGACCAACGGACCCGCCGCCGGCATCGCCTCAACCTCGGACTGCGCTGACCTCTAAGCGACCTGGCGGCATCACTTAATGATCAGGCTGACTTTGCCCGCCGATTTTTCCGAGTTTTCTGACGGTCATATGCAATCCAGATCCCGGATTCCTTCCGGAGCCCTTGCAAAAACAAGTCCAAGAGGTGTCCGTGCTGATTCTTTGTGGTCGGTTACGAAGGTTGACGCTTTTGTCGGTGCCACGAGTTTGCTGCCAGGCGAGGCGTGGGCAAAGGGCCAACTACGGCCGCAACGCTTTTCTGAGTTGAGCAAATATCTACAGAGATATCCTGGCTGAGTTCAGAACCCGTGGATCCGAATTGTGTATGATGCGTGTACGAAGAATGCTCATCACTCAGCCATGGTTCCTGCAAGAATTGGTAATGGTTGGAGACCATCCCTCATTCCCTTTGGCACTCACGAGAGGTGAGGTGCATCACGTGTGCGGCTTCAGGTGAAATTTGCCTGCAGGCACGTCTATCGGGACTGTCTACCTTCTTCACCGCATCGTGCTGGACGGAGGCTCTCGGACAACCGTAAGAGAGACCTCTGTGCCTTTTGCGTAACATGCGGAGCGATCGCTCCTCTCCGCGAGAAAAGTTCCGGCTCGTCTAGAGTCAGAGTCTCGGGGTCTGAAGGAAGGTCGATCAGCTTCTGGAGCCGGAGCCCCCAAGAGCCCGGATGCACGGTCATTGGCCGAAGTATGCATGATCAAATGCGAAGACATCGGTCCCCCTGGAGTCCTCAAGCCCGGAACCGAACTAACAGGAAGCCTACACCCGTTCAGGGCCGATTGGGCCACCTGATGTCCGTTTTTCTACCGTGTGCGCCTGCCGCAAAGTTGCTCCGCTCGGACCGGATTTCTGCCCTGGGCCTTTCCTTGGTTCCTTGTCTAGCCATGGCAGTCACTCACGGCCCGCTTTCGGAGGAAGAGGTCCAGCTTGGGAGGGCCGGGGAAGACTTCGAGCTTTGTGGTTGGATAAAGCTACTGTTCGGATCGTTGGTCACTGACAGATGATCAGTATACACTCACCTGAGTGAACAGCTAGGTATTTCAATCCTGAGACCTTCGAGGTTTGTTCCCCAAGACCTTACGCTGTTCTGACGTTCAGAGTAAAGAGACTTGATTGAGGGAGCCGAACGACGGCGGCGTGCGCGCGCGGGGGGGGGGGGGCGCGAGCCAAATTGGCTAGCAATTCGGATAGCTGCGTCCTATGATATGCGCAGGACGCGTCTCCTGCTGTGCTGTGCTTCATACTTGTTGCTGGCGTTCTTGTATTTACAGCGAATCCGTGATTTATTGTAAACAGGCCTGTCTTTTACTCCGCCCCCTACAGCTTTAATCCACCTCTAGGAGCGGGAACAGTTTCTAGGTGTGGAACAAAAGATTCGCCCATTGTGAAATACAACATGTGGAACACTAGTTTCGTTCGAGAACCCTTAATCGCGGCGGGGAGTCCTTCTGATGCTGCCAGTTAAGCGCCAGTATTTCGGGGAAAATATTTTGGTGCTCTCCTGCTGGTCTCTCTGGGTGGTATCATGGTTTTCTCCTGCGGTCTGCTGTTGGTCTCCTCGTCGTCGTGGTGGTCCTCGTGGTCGTTGTCATCATGGCTGTCGTGGTGCCGATCTACGCTGGCATAATCGAGTGTGCTTGCCTCATCACTACAAGTTCCAGGTGCAGCCGGTGCAGCTCAGGTGACTATTCTTCTCCAAAGCTCAGCAGAGTTATTGCAGTCGATGTTTTCGAGCCACCTGTTGCTGAACCAGGTAACCAGCATACGTTCACATCATCTAATACCCTCCGGACGAGGTAGAATGCAAGCGTTTCGGATGCCGCACATAGTTGTGACGCTTTACCACGACCGGACTGGGCATTCGTGAGTAAACAAACAATATTCGTGTACCTGCACGCTCTAGCTGAGGGTCTGTTTGTTTGCAACACAATCAGTGCTGCTTGAAGAGAGCGGCTGATCGGCGTTCTCTCCCCCTGCACGATGTCGCTGCAGGTGCCCATGGTCCAGGTGGAGCAGCCCCGTGCATCCAAGGGACGTTGGTACATGGCAGGCCGGGGTCCAGGCTTCTCAGGTTTGCATTCACTCTTGAGAATAAGGCTTACGTCCGGGCCGGTTTGGTTCGGGACCGTTGGCACATGACTATACAGTTCTTGTCCTTGTATTAGCATTGTGGAGCACTCGACCGATCGAGTCCTTGCAGCTGAGACAGCAGAAAGGTTGTGAGACCCCCATGCAAAGACTGTGGCGTATGTTGGCACTGCAACCCTGCAACCTAAATCGACACCCGGAAAGATTGCAAGTGTTTTCTGGGAATTTCAGGGGCTGAGGATCTCATCGAGTTTTGTGTGTTCTATATACAGTGCAGACCCATGTTGCGTAGATTCTCAATTTGGCCTCGCTCCTTCTCTCTCTCTCTCTCTCTCTCTCTCTCTCTCTCTCCGTCTCAGACTTAATTGAGCAAACCGCGTTAAAAGGACTAAAGAATTTCGAAAGAGACTAGAAGCTTTCAGAAGAGGGAGCAAGCCGCTCGAGAGAGACTACAGAATGTCGCAGGAGACTAGAGAAAGTCACAACAAGGAGCAAACCGCTTCAAAGGAGCTTCAAGGAGCAAACCGCTGGATAAAGACCACAGAATTTCCAAAGAGACGAGAGAATTTGAAAACAAGGAGCCAACCGCTCGAAAGGAACTAAAGAACTTCAGAAGAAGGAGCAGTCCGCTCGAAAGAGACATGAGAATTTCGAAAAAGACTGCAAAATTCTGTAGTATCTTGCGAAATTTTCTAGTGTCATTCGATCAGTTTGCTCCTTCTTCTGAAATTCTCGGGTTCCTTTCGAGCGGTTTGCTGCTTGTTTTCAAACTCTAGTCTTTGCCGAAATTCTCTAGTGTCTTTCGTAAACCCCCAGTCATTTTCAATCGGTTTGTTCCTTCTTCGGAAGTTTTCTAGTTCCTTCTGAGCGGTCTGCTCCTTGGTTTCAAAATTTATTGGAAAATTCTCTAGTCCCTTTCGAACGGATTGCTCCTTCTTCTGAAATCCTCTAGTTCCTGTCGAGCGGTTTGCTCCTGGTTTTGACCATCTCTAGTCACTAATCACTAATCTCTGTCGGAATGGACTAGTCTCTTGCCGGCGGTGTGTTCCTTCTTATGAAATTCTCAAGTTCTATTCGAGCTGTTTGCTCCTTGTTTTCAAACTCTCTAGTGTCTACGGAAACTGTCTAGTCTGTTTCGAGCGGCTTGCTGCTTCTTCTGAAATTCTCTAGTCTCTGTCGAGCGGTTTGCTCCTTCTTCTGAAAGTTTTAAGTAAAGTTCCTAGTCTCTTTCGAGCGGTTTGCTCTTTCTTTTCGAATTCCCTAGTTCCTTTCGAGCGGTTTGCCCCTTGTTTTCAATGTCTCTAGTCTCTTTGGAGCAAAATGCTCTTTGTTTTCAATTTCCCTAGTCTCTTTAGAATTCTCTTTCGAGCGGTTTGCTTCGTCTTCTGACATTCGCTAGTTCCTTCCGAGCGGTCTGCCCTTGTATGCAATTTCTCGAGTTTTTTCGAAACCCCGCAGTCTTTTTCGAACGGTTTGCGCCTTCTTCTGAAAGTCTCTAGTTCCGTTATTGCAAACAAGGAGCCGACCGCCCGGAAGGAACTAGAGAATTTCAGAAGAGGAGCCAGCCGCTCGAAAGAGACTAGAGAATTTCGACTAGAGACTAGAGAATTTGAAAACAAGGAGCAAGCCGCTCGAAAGGGACCAGAAAATTTCAGAAGAAAGAGCAAACCGCTCGAAAAAAAATGGCTATTTTCAAAGGAGACTAGAGAATTTGAAAACAAGGAGCAAACCGCTCGAAAAGAACTAGAGAATTGCTGCAGAAGGACAAACCGCTCGAAAGAGACGAGAGAATTTCAACGGAGAGTAGAGAATTTGAAAAAAGGAGCAAGCCGCTCAGAAGGATCTAGAGAATTTCAGAAGAAGGAACAATCCGCTCGAAAGAGACCAGAGAATATCGAAAGAGATTGGACAATTGGAAAACAAGGAGCAAACCGCTCGAAAAGAACTGGAGAATTGCAGAAGGAAGAGCAAAGCGGTCGAAAGACACTAGAGAATTTCTAAAGAGACTAGAGAATTGGAAAACAAGGAGCAAACCGATCGAAAGGAATTAGAGAATTTCTGAAAAAGAGCAAACCGCTCGAAATAGACTAGAGAACTTCGAAGGAGACTAGAGATTTTGACAACAAGGAGCGACCCGCGCGCAAGAAACTAAGAAGTTGAACACAAGGAGCAAGCCGCTCGAAAAATATTAGAGAACTTCGAAAAAGACTGCAGAATTTGCAATCAAGGAACATTCAGAAGAAGGGGCAAACCGCTCGAACGAGACTCGGGAATTTGGAGAATTTGAAAACAAGGAACAAACCGCTCGAAAGAATCTAGAGAATTTCAAAAGAAGGAGCAAACCGCCCGACGAAAACTTAAAACTTCAGAAGAAGGAGCTAACTGCTCGAGAGACTCTAGAGATTTCGAAATAGACTAGAAACTTTCAGAAGAATGGGCACACGGCTCGAAATCTACTAGAGAGTTTCGAAAGAGACTAGAGAATTTGAAAAACAAGGAGCAAGCCGCTGGAAATAGAGCAGAGAATTTGAAAACAAGGAGCAAGCCGCTCGAAAGGAACTAGAGAATCTCAGAAGAAGGAGCCAGCCGCTCGAAAGAGACTAGAGAATTTCGAAAGAGACTAGAGAGTATGAAAACAAGGAGCAAGCCGCTCGAAAGGAACTAGAGACCTGCAGAAGAAGGAGCAAACCGCTCGAAAGAGACTGGATTTTTTTCGCGGAGACTAGAGCATTTGAAAACAAGGAGCAAGTCGCCCGAAAGGAACTAGAGAATCTCAGAAGAAAGAGCCAGCCGCTCAAAAGAGACTAGAGCATTTCGAAAGAGACTAGAGAATTTGAAAACAAGGAGCAAATCGCTCGAAAGGAACTAGAGAATCTCAGAAGAAGGAGCAATCCGCTCGAAAGAGACTAGAGTGTTTGAAAACAAGGAGCCAACCGTTCGAAAGGAACTAAAGAATTTCAGAAGAAGAAGCCAGCCGCCCGAAAGGGACATGAGCATTTCGAAAGAGATGGCAAAATTTTGTAGTATCTTGCGAAATTCTCTAGTCGCTTTCGAGCGGTTTGCTCCTTCTTCTGCAATTCTCTGGTTCCTTTCGAGCGGTTTGCTGCTTGTTTTCAAACTCTAGTCTTTTTCGAAATTCTGTAGTGTCTTTCGAAAATCCCAAGTCATTTTCAATCGGTTTATTCCTTCTTCAGAAGTTTTCGAGTTCCTTTCGAGCGGCTTGCTCCGTCTGTTTGAATTTTCTCTAGTCCCTTTCGAGCGGCTTGCTCCTTCTTATGAAATTCTCTAGTCCCTGTCGAGCGGTTTGCTCCTTGTTTTGACCTTCGCTAGTCTTTGTCGGAACTCAGTAGCCTTTTTCCGGCGGCGTGCTCCTTCTTCTGAAATTCTCAAGTTCTTTTCGAGCTGAAGCTCCTTGTTTTCAAATTCTTTAATGTCTTTAGAAATTCTCTAGTGTCTTTCGAGCGGTTTGCTCCTTCTTCTGCAGGTCCACCGCTCGAAAAGAATTAGAGAATCTCAGAAGGCGGAGCCAGCCGCTCGAAAGACACTAAAGACTTTCGAAAGAGATTAGAGAAGTTGAAAACAAGGAGCAAACAGCTCGAAAAGAATTTGAGAATTTCAGAAGAAGCAGGAAGCCGCTTGAAAGAGACCATGGAATTTCGATAGAGACTAGAGAAATTTCAAACAGACGGAGCAAGCCGCTCGAAAGGAATTTGAATTTCAGCTTCAATGAAGAAGCAAACCGCTCAAGGCAGACCAAGGAAATTAAAAACAAGGAGCAAGCCGCTCGAAAGGAAATAAAGAATCTCAGAAGGCGGAGCCAGCCGCTCGAAAGAGACTAGAGAATTTCGAAAAAGACTACAGAAATTGAAAACAAGGAGCACCGCTCGAAAGGAACTGGGGAATTGCAGAACAAGGAGCAAACCGCTCGAAAGAGACTACAGAATGCCGAAAGACAGTGGGAAAATTGAAAACAAGGAGCAAGCCGTTCGAAAGGAACTAGAGAATTTCAGAAGAAGGAGCAAACCGCTCGAATGAGACTAGCGAATATCGAAAATACTAGAGTCACTTTGAATAAACACAAGGAGTAAACCGCTCGCAAGGAATTTACGAATTTCTGAAGAAAGAGCAAACCGCTCGAAAAAGACTAGAGAACTTCGAAGGAGACTAGAGAATTTGACAACAAGGAGCGACCCGCGCGAAAGAAACTAGAAAATGTCGAAAGAGACTAGAGAAGTTGAAGACAAGGCCGCTCGAAAGGACCTAGAGAATTTCAGAAGAAGGAGCAAACCGCTCGACGAAAGCTTACAAACTTCAGAAGAAAAAACAAGCTGCTCGAAAGAGACTAGCGATTTTGAACGGAGACTAGAGAATTTGAAAACAAGGAGCAAGCCGCTCGTCGAGCGGGTTGCTCCTTGTTTTCAATTTCTCTAGTCTCTTTGGAGCGGAATGCTCCTTGTTTTCAATTTCTCTAGTCTGTTTAGAACTTTTTTAGTCTCTCCCGACGGGTTTGCTCCTTCTTCTGAAATTCGCTAGTCCCTTCCGAGCGGCCTGCCCTTGTGTGCAATTTCTCGAATTTTTTCGAAATCCCCCAGTCTTTTTCGAACCGTTTGCTCCTCCTTCTGCAATTCTCTAGTTCCGTTATTGCAAACAAGGAGCCGACCGCCCGGAAGGAACTAGAGAATTTCCGCTGGAAAGAGACTAGTGAATATCGAAAGAGGTTAGAGAATTCGAGAACAAGGAGCAAACCGCTCGAAAGGAACTAGAAAATTACAGGAGAAGAAGCAAACCGCTCGAAAAAAACTGGAGAACATGGAGACTAGAGAATTTGAAAGCAAGGAGCAAACCGCTCGAAAGAGAGTTTTCAGAAGAACGGGCAAGCCGTTCGAAAGAGACTAATTTCGAAAGAGACCAGAGAAATTGAATCCAGGCGCAAACCGCTCGAAACGAACCAGAGACTCTCACAAGAAGGGGCAAACCGGCTTAAAAGATACCAGGGGGATTTTGAAAGAGTTCAGAGAACTTGAAAACAAGGAGCAAACTACTCGAAAGGAACTAGAGGATCTCAGAAGAAGGAGCAAACCGCTCGAAAGAGACTACAGAATGCCGAAAGAGACTAGGCCTAGGCAAATTGAAAACAAGGAGCAAACCGCTCGAAAGAGACTAGCGAACATCGAAAATACTAGAGGAATCGAAAACAAGGAGCAAACCGCTCGAAAGGAACTAGAAAATTTCAGAAGAAAGAGCAAACCGCTCGAAAGAGACTAGAGAATTTGACAACAAGGAGCGACCTGCTCGAAAGAGACTAGAGAATGTCGGAAGAGACTAGAGAAGTTGAAGACAAGGAGCAAGCCGCTCGAAAGAGACTAGAGAACTCCAAAAGAGACTGCAGAAGAAGGAGCAAACCGCTCGACGCAAACTTCAACACCTCAGAAGAAGGAGCAAGCTGCTCGAAAGAGACTAGAGATTCTCGAATATCGAATTCGATTAGACACTTTCAGAAGACTGGTCACACCGCTCGAAATCTACTAGAGAATTTCGAAAGAGACTAGAGAATCTGAAAACAAGGAGCAAACCGCTCGAAATAGAGCAAAGAATTTGAGAAGAAGGAGCAAGCCGCTCGAAAGGAACTAGAGAATCTCAGAAGAAGGAGCCAGCCGCTCGAAAAAGACTACAGACTTTCGAAAGAGACTAGAGAAATGGAAAACAAGGAGCCAACTGCTCGAAAGGAACTAGAGACCTGCAGAAGAAGGAGCAAAACTGCTCGAAAGAGACTAGAGAATTTCAACGGAGACTAGAAATTTGAAAAGAAAAAAGCAAGCCGCTCGAAAGGAACTGGAGAATTTCAGAAGAAGGAGCCAACCGCTCGAAAGAGACTGAGAATATCGAAAGAGACTAGAGAGACATGGGAAACAAGGAGCAAAGCGTTCGAAAGGAACTGGAGAATTGCAGAAGCAAGAGCAAGCCGCTCGAAAGACACTAGAGAATTTCTAAGCAGACGAGAGAATTTGAAAACAAGGAGCGAATGGTTCGAAAGCGACTAGAGAATTTGAAAAAGGAGAGCAAACCGCCCGAAACCGCTCGAAAGGAACGAGCGAGTCTCAGAAGAAGGAGCCAACCCGCTGAAACAGTCTGGTGAGTTTCGAACGAAAGCAAACCGCTCGAAAGGAACTCGAGAATTGCTGAAGAAGGAGCAAACCGCTTGGAAGAGACTTAACAGAATTTTGAAAGAGGCTAGAGAATAAGAAAACAAGGAGCAAACAGATCAGGAACTAGACAGTTTCAGCAGAAAAAGCAAACCACTCGAAAGATACTGGAGAGGAGAGCTTGAAATCAAGGAACAAACCGCTAGAATTAGGCCAGCGGATGTCAGAAGAAGGAGCAACCACTCGAAAGGAAAGAGAAATTTTTGGAAGAAGCAGCTAATCGCTCGAAAGAGACTAGAGAGTTTCGAAGGAGATTAGAGATTTTGAAAAACAAGGAGCAAACGGCTCGAAAGGTACTTGAGACGTTCAGAAAAAGGAGCAAGCCGCACGAAAGAGACTAGAGAATTTGACAGCAAGGAGGGAACCGCTCGAAAGGAATTTGAGAATTTCAGAAGGAGCAAACAGCTCGAAAGGAACTAGGGGTTTTCAGAGGAAGCAGCAAACCGCTCGAAAGACTAGAGAGTTTCGAAGGAGACAGGAGAGTTTGGAAACAAGGAGCAAACGGCTCGAAAGCTACTTGGGAATTTCAAAAAAGGAGCAAGCCGCACGAAAGAGACTAAAGAATTTGACAGCAAGGAGGGAACCGCTCGAAAGGAACTTGAGAATGTCAAAACAAGGAGCAAACCGCTCAAAAGAAACTAGAGAATGTCAAAACGAGGAGCAAACCGCTCGAAAGAAATTAGAGAATTTCGACAGAGACCAGAGAGTTTGAACAGACGGAGCCCGCCCCCCCCGCCACCCCAAACCGCTCGAAAGGAAGCTAGGTGAGAACGTCGCTTGATGTCACGTTTCTGTTGATGTCTATAACGTACATGTGTATAGTATATGTATAGATCATAGTATAGTTAAATATTGTTATATACATATATACACAATAAGACAAAAACACACACATACACCTCAGATGGATACACTAAGAATAATTAAGGGATGCGTGAGCATTCGGTGCGAGGACTTGCTTGGAGAGGCATTTTCGGCTTAGATAGTGGGTACCAAGACACGCTCGCCCTCACACTGCTGTCTCGAGTGCTGCATTTTTTCTCACTCTGCTCCTCTACCCCCCCTCCTCTCCGGCACATCCCCTCCCAATCGGCTTTGCAGGTGCGGCTGTGATGACCTTGGCGGTTGTTGGCGTCGTGGCCAAGGCATGGTTCCACAACTGGGGTTGTCTACATTTCGAGCGAGCATCTTCGGTATCCAGGCTTCAGAATCTCACCCCGAACGCGTGGGCTCAATGTCGCGGGCAGGGCGCAGGAAGTTGGGTCTTGGGCCACGGGGAACCGAGCTCCAAGATTTCGGACTGGCCCTGCGGCCTCGACGCCCCGAGAACCGGATCGAAGATGACCCGCTCACATGTTGGAGAACTTCGGACCCTTCTGGTTCCTTCTAACTTTGATCGCATCTCTTTAAGCCTAGTGAGCTACTAGCAGCCGAAAAACGTGGTGATCAAAGTCATACTTGCACTTGCTATAATTTTAGTTATCTTATTAGGACATCGAAGAACATGCTGGCTTCGGTCCATGCGATGCGCAGCTGCGTCCGCCTGACGGAGCTCAGACCATGAATCGCCTGACACTCCAGAGCCTTGTGTGAGTTCCTACAGATTCCACATATGCAAGGCATCCTGCAAGGACAGGGGCACCCCTACTGGCACCCCAAATTATCGGCCTTAGAGGAGGCAAGCTAGACCCAGAGCTTACAATCTGAGTATGCTTGCCGAAAATAGTGACATTTATTGCTTGACTTTCGTCATCTGCTTGTCTGTTTGCTTTGACGACGAGGACGATAATCAAGCGTTGCTTCCGGCGAGGCCTCCGGCTCCTCGCTCTCGAAGTCCAAGACACTGGATCAGATCGAGAACTGGGAGGAGCTGCCAGGAATGGACCAGGCCGGTGGTTTTTGCGAGGTCCAGGTTTAGACGGCGGTTCTTGGGGCTTGAGCTAGAGTTGATTTGGGCCCAAAGATGCTTTATTAGAGGCTCGGGTCTTGCCCTTGAAAGCACCAAACTCTTCAAGCCGTCACCAATGACCTTCTGTTTGTTGATTCTGATACACCTCGATCCCAGGTATTGGCTTCTTATCCTTATCGCGCATGCATTTTATGACTGTACTTCGTATCATAGTTGTTACTTTGTCTGGTGTTCAACTCTGCTAGACCTGCAGCCCCGCCCTACACGGAGAGACACAACCGCAAACCTCGAGGCCCAAAGAACCCTGTCTCGTAGGTCCGTAGCACAATTACTCCAACAAGCAACAACAGCATCAGCTGCGTCTAGCCAGGTCATCCACAAGGCCCAGGCCCTGAAGATGGACAAACCTTTGCGCAACCTGCAAGACCTGTCACTCGGCTCAGCGTTTCGGGTGTCGGGCTTCAATTTCTAGCCTTGGAGCATGTACAAATGTAGCGAGGCAAGGCGAACTTGAGGTCGGACTCTCGTGGGCCTGCTATTTGGATCGCCGTGAGGCGTTCGCGAACTGTCGGGTGTGGGTGCGGGTGCGGGTGAGCGGGTGGGTGAGTGGGTGGGTGAACTGTCCCAGGTCATTGGCTAAGGGAGGTCACTCTCCCGTTCTGCACAACTTCATTTTGCTCGCAATTTGTTTTTTCCAGATTGTTTGGAATGCAGGGGGCAGGACAATCGATTGCTGGACTCCCACTAACAAAGACGCCAGCTTTCCATGGTGATGTGTTACGGGACGCCGAACTGAACATGTGGCTGCGTGACTGCTTGTGACATCCTGAACGTTACGAAGCAGCTAGCATCCTCGCGGTGTATGGTTAGCTTCGCTGTTGGTACCTTCAACAAACACCTTTCAGCAGCAGCATCCAGTCATTGTCTGCACACAGCTTGCTGAGGCTTTGCAAATGCATTCATGCACAGCTGAAGCAATCTGAGCCGCTTTCACACAGTTGCAGAGAGGAATTTCGTAAGCAAGCTAACGATTTGTGAGTTGCTACAACCCTGGTGGGTGGGGTGGGGTGGGGTGGGGTGGGTGCACGTGCGCCGCCGCGATATCAATCTTGGTTTGGCTTGTGTAAGTCACAACGGTTGGGGTTGTGCTCGAGCTGTCGCTTAACGGACTCTGACTGATTTTAGGTTTTCGTTGAGAGCGTAGCATTTGAAATCCTAAAAGCCCCGAGACCCTGCAATCTAAAGCCCAGGGATATTTCGTTGCCAAAGTAGTCAAGACCTTAGACAATGAGGTTTGCGTTGACGCCCTGGCCGCAGTCCCATTGTCGGCAGTACAAAAGACTGCGAAAGTTCGTTAGCCCTTAACGCACCTCACTCCAAATCAGGCCAGGACAAAGGTCGAAAACTCCGAACCCCCGTGCCGCGAGTCGTTACCCTGCACCCCAGGTTCTACGACTCCCAGCCTGAGGAGCCTTGGTTTGAAATGGGATTTGAAGTTTGGGCGAGCCCCCAGAGTTTACGAAGGCTTGACGCAGGCTTTCAGTTAGCACTGTAGAGTTTTTAGCTTTAACATTGAGCTTCAAGGGCTCAGGTCACCGCGTTCAGTGCCAGCTGGCAGTTGGTTTTGAAAACGCAATGCAGGGAGCAGGTGCAGCGCTGTATCGGGCAGAGTTGATATTAGGATCATGCCGATGCTGCTTACGTATGGTGATGGAACAGTTAGCAGTGTTTTGTTGAAGTTCAGGAAGTGAGGTTCTGTTCGGAGCTTTCGGCTTGAGGGAAACGCCACGGTGGTTGACTCGATTCAGGTTCGGGCTGCATGGGACTTGAGCTTGGGGTTCTGGCGTCTGCACACCAGGTATTTTGAGTGGTGGACTTGGTAGTTAAGTTGTGCTTGGGGCTTGGCCACTTCAGACCTGCGCAGCCAAAAGTTTATAAGATTTGCAATGTGCACCATCAACATAACCATCGCCCTAAGCCCTATAAGTCCTATAAGTCCTAAACCACAAAACGTGAGAAGCTGCTCTCGATGGAACCGCAGCAGTTCAACCCGAGCTCCGAGCCGTGCTGACGTTATTTTCAACCTTTCAACCGCGCCGAGGAGCTGCCCTGGATCCGCACGGAGTGTGTGATCGACACTGTCCAGGCATCTACTAGAGGGGAGGATGAGGTTTTGGGGTATATGATATTATGATTATAGTAAGGAGCCCCAAAATAGTACTGGTAATTATTTAGGCCCCTGTAGCCTACGACAACGTCGACGAGGCCCACCTTAGGGAGCGCAATGTTGCTTTGGGGGGGAAAACTTTCTCCTACGCTGACAACCTCCTCCGTGGTGATGGGGCCCTCGCGGATTGCACTTCTCTCGCTTCGTCTTCGGCTTCTTCGGCAGCTGTGCAGGCGGCTCCGGCTGGTCAGTTGGGTCTTCAGGCTGCTGTGGATGCCCTGGATCCGCACGGAGTGTGTGAGCCACTACGAGATTGCCTCCAGCTCCTCGACGAGCACGGCAGTGGTGGGTTTGCAGACGGAGTGGGCCTCTCCGCTGCAAATGCTGAAATCTACAGATTACTTCAAGTCCATCTCATTTAGGGAAAAGGTGAGTATGCAGAAAGCGTGGCCATCGCGTGAGCAGAACTCCACCGACATTTACATGATCACCCGGCACTGCCTTCCCAGAAGTCTGTGCGAGATTCTCTCCAGCTCCTTTGTGAAGATTGCTGTGATGAATCTGCAATTAGCGTTTCAACCCCTTCTGGGGTTGGGATTTGCTGATTGCCTGTTCCGCTTTCCCTGGGCCCTGGGATCAAGATTGATATGGAAAGAAAGCTCAATGGAGCAAAAGAAGAAAAGATTGAAGACCTCAAGTGAGGCTAAGAGCTCCCTCAAGAGTGCCATTTGGAGCCAGGCTTTGGGCTTCCGGCTCTCGGTGTCGGGTTGGCTGGTTAGGGGTTTCCCGGTCCTCTATCCTCCCTTCTCCAACCTTTGCAACTTGGCTGCAATTAAACCTGGCCCTTTCGGGCCCCACGGTAGCTTACACATGGTGTGTAAACCAGCTGCAATGGCCGCGGCGAATGCGAAGACTGCGTGCAGCGCTTTTTCCTGGTTTGGGCCGGGCACTTGCATGCGATCTTGGATTGTTCCTTGGCTGCATTATTTAGTTTCTTTTGAAGTTGGCTTACCCGCTTCATCTTTATACCCGTGGTGGGCTTTCTTTTCGTCTCGGAGAGTTGGCATACCAACTTTTTGGGACCCGACTTCGAAGAGGAGAGTTGGCATACCAACTTTCTGTGATTCAGTTTCGCTGTGGCCTCAGCTTCAGCAAACACCCGTTTCAGTGGCTTTGGCCTATGGACACTTGTGCCTTGGGCCACTAATTCTTATGCTGGTAAGACTCCTCGCTGCACAAGAGAAGGTGGTGAACGCAACACAGCAAGTTGCTCCCAGTCCGTCCCCAAGAGCGGAGATGTCGTGTGAACAGGTTGAGCCTCCGCTGAAAGCAGAAGCACCGTACGAGCCAGATCAGGCACCGAGGGCTTGTTCCGCTCAGAAGAAGAAGAAGAAGACAACGAATAAGTTGCGACATCTCCCGCGAATATGTCGCATAGGTCTCTGTCGCCGCCTTAGTGGGGGCAGACGCGTCAAACGGGCGAGAAATCGCCATAGACGCAGAGCTGCACGTAAGCACCTCAGACGTTTCTGGTTTTGGTTCCTTGGGCGCTTGCCTGCGCCCCGAGTTTGCAAGAAGACAGACGAAGATGATGACGACGACATTCTTCCAGCTTCGGCCTCTGACATGGTTGCACCGGCTAAAGTTGCTCTGACGGGGTCACCGAGCCTTACCGCCTGCGCCTTAATCACGCCCTTTTGGCAAGTGATGCGAACTGCAATCGTCCTCAGCCTTTGTCTGTTGTGGATTTGCCGGCTAGCCTGGAATCCACATACAGGAGTGCGGATTGGTGAAGCATCCAATCCCGGGCCTATATCAAGCACAAACACAGAAGCTTCGCTAAGAGAGGCTTTGCTGACCGTCCTTAAAAGCTTCGCTCCGCCGCCTCCGCCCACAACCACGGTTGAAAGGAGGGTTTTTGTCGCCGACAACACGGAGGACTATCCCACTGCGCAGGCCTCGCGCAAAGGAAAGGGTCCCCATGGTGGAAAAGGCAAAGGGCAAGGCAGGTCTAAAGGGAAAGGAAAAACGGGTGGGGACACGACCGAAGCCACCTCTACTCCCCAACCTCTCACGCCGACTCCACCGCGAGCCCAAGAAGGACACGAGCAGTCCTTACGCCACAAGCTGTTGGCGGTCCTCTCTAAAGCTGCCCAAGAATCGTGGAGTGATGCTTCCTTAGCTCAAGCCATGATTAAGGAGCTTCAAGGTGAGACTACTGTTGTCTCATCGCCCTCGGCCCAGGCGGTGAAGGGTCGCGATGAAGGTGCTACTAAAGGTGGAAAGCCGCCTGCGAAGCACGAAGCCTCCCAAGCCACAAAGGGCAAAGGCAAGCTGGCTGCTTCCCACACTGGCAAGGGCAGAGGAAAGGATCCCCAACTTAGGTCTGCACCAGTCTCTGCCTCCAGAGTCTTAGCTAGTGAGTGGGACAGCAAGCCTGTACTCACCGACGTTGCTGAGATTCGCAAAAGCCTAAACCAAGGAGAATCTTTACCGGGCAACCTGATTATCACACGCGAACGTGCGGTTGTCGAAGAGGTTGAAGCCATTTTCAGTGCTTTTGATTTTTCAGAACCACTTTCAATTGCTGTGGTCAATCCTGCGCTGCCAAATCTGCCATCCGTGGCAGTTTGGTGGGGCCAGAAGAAAGCTTTTGATCCACCGCAGCGCGTGAAACTCCAGATGTTCCAGGCTTCCGATTTCCCCGGACCCGAGCCTAAACCACCGGCTTCTGTTAAGCTGAAGCACACTGACGTGAAGCTTGCAACGCTCAGGATGCTCGCTCCTTCCTTTTATCGGCAGCTCATCCCGGGAGCTCCTAAGGAGGACACTCCGGCGAGTGTGATAGCACAACTCGCTCAGGTCGCGCAGTGCCGCACTGCTGAGCTCACCGGTGGACACTGGGAGAAGGTTTTGCACAAAAAGGGGGTGATCATCGTCGGACACGTTAAGATGACAGAACGGATTGCCTTGCGTTTGATTGCTGAGAGCGGTAGACATGCCCTTTTCTGCACCATGCTCAGTAGAGACCAGCCCAAAACGGATGTTGCTTGGATCCCCAAACAGACGCAACACAGCGATGAAGAGTATTACAGCTATGCTACCAGCCAAGCGGCCAAGCATCGTCTCCCACTCGCCCTGAGGCAAGGAGGAGGAAACGATATCGGTTTGGCAGGCGCAGACCCGATGCTCTACACCCAGGCCCGAGCCTCACACTGGATTGTCTACGGGGCACCACGATCATGGGCGGAAACCGATGTCAGCAGTTTTCTACACGAAGTAGGATGGAGACAGATTTCCGTCTTAACTCGGAAACGAGGCCGCAGGCAAAGCTCTTATGCCCGAGAATCAAAATCTTGACTCCTTCTCCTACTCCGATGAAGCTCAGGATTTATGCATCACTATCGCTCCTGAGATTCGCTCTAAGAAACGTGCCGCGGCGTGGGATACCCAGCCCCTGAAGGCTCCAAAAAAGCTTTGGGTTGACAGGAGCCGCAGAAACGACGAGGAAATCGCCGCCACTCTGGCGGATCAGTCGGACGACGACGATGTTAAATCCCAGCCTTCTGTCCGTTGCTCCAGACCAAAAGCAAGGGCAGCACCAGACGAGTCTCGGGACAAGTCCAGATCCCCTAGACACATGGTGACTGAGGACGGAAACCGCGCCAAGGTCATCAGCGAAGCGACTGTCAACGCGGACAAGATCCTTGGCAGGACCCTGGGTTTGACTCCCGTCGACTGCGGAGGCGCAGGGGATTGCGCCTTCAGATCCCTAGCTTATCTCATTGCTCGTCAACAGAGCAAAACCCTCGATAGTGAACAGCTTTCCAGGGAAGCGGCTAGTTTGCGCTTGAAATGCTCTTTGCATCTCACAAAGCACCAGAAAGAATTAAGCGAGTTCTGGGCTCCCGATGCTGACACGGACCTTGCGGAGAGCCAAGTTCCCCCAAATGTGGACATCTGGGGAGGATGCACGCCTCCTAACAATTTCCAGGAGTACTTGAAACTTGTTTGTAAGGCGGCTACTTGGGCAGACGGCTTGATGCTAGAGAGCTTAGCACAACGTTTAGGGACACCGATTCTGGTGTGGATCTGGAGCAGCACCAACAGTTCATGGTCTCGCGTTGTGCTGGCTCCTTGGGTCACCGAGGGCTGTGCTGGTCGGGCCCGTAAGGACCCCTTTCCTCTCTTCCTGGCTCTTAAAGATGGTCATTTTAGGGCTTTGATCTGCAAGGACGAGGAGCGTCCCCACTGCTGTCCTGAGGCCTGGTTGAGGGAAACGCCCCGACGCAGGCTTCAAG